TAACGAACTTCGAAAGAAACAAGAAATACATAACAAGAAATTGTTGATAAAACGATTGCAAAAGAGTTAAAAGCAAAAGGTAAAAAACAAGAAACAAGAAACAAAGAGTACATTGTAGAATAAGCTTAATTCTTGTCTAAAACAAAAAATCAAGAAATATTTTTAATTTTCATATATTTATCCTATATAATTTTATCCTAAATGAACCTTTTAAAAAAATAAAAAAAAAATAAAAAAAAAAGATTTCGAGTATTTTTGCACTGCAATTGAGGTGCTTTGGCGGCAGTCTCTAGATGGTCGAGTTAAAACTTTGTTCGCGTTCTAAATCTGTTTACCCGATATCGCGTTAACAGATTATTTGATTGATAAATCGGTGTTAATAGGAATCAAATGCTTCTCAATATCTCGATAACCGTCGCGCACCTATATATGTATCTGCACGCCGTGTTTCCATTGCAAGCGCTGAATTTACTGAAGGACTTCGAATTTCAATTAAAAATTTTAAGAACATATTCTCTCGAAGAGTTGTACTATCAATTTATGAAAAAAATTGATTTTTTTTACTTGTAAACCAGGCGCCCCCTTAAGTTAAATTTATTTCAAAGTTATTCATAAAATTCTCTAAATCTTACTTGGAATCTCTTGGAAAATCTGGGAATTTTCAAGGAATGCTTTTGGAAAAATTGATTAATCAGCCTATAAAACAAGACTTCTGTATATTTTATTCATTAACGGAAAATATAATTTTATAATATTATCAACGTTTAAGATTGTCAACATATATGTGATTTGTATTCGAACTTCTTAGAGATTCGAAAATTTTAAATAATTTGTATTCGAACTGTAGGGATTCAAATCCGATTTGAATAATTCGCACATCTAGTATTTACGTCCCTGGCCAAAAGTTCGGAAAGTTCAGATTTGCGGTATTTTCGCATTTTTTCATGAAAAGTTAAATACGTTGGTGAAAAAAATTGTAGAGAAGTTTTCGATCATGTATTTTAAAGCGCAAAGGTAGGACATTAAATTTGCGTTGGAATTTTTTTCTACATTTTATTTTTACATTACATAAAATTGAAAATTGATTTTTTGCAATATTTTTATCTTACTGAAGCGATGAATTGAAAAACATCATCGGATAAAATTTAATATAAAAATATTTTAAAATAGATTTTTCAAGTTTTAAAATGTGTTTGAAAAAAATGATACGATGATTTTTTTCGCAGATATCGAATTTTTTATTGTGCATAAAAATCTTTGTTTAAAATAAATTGACGATTGAAGAAAGTTTTCAAAAAAATTTGTGCAAATTAGAAAGGTTATCGTACTAATTTTTCTAAAAAGCATTTTAAAGATTAGAAATCTACTTCAAAGTAATTTTATATGAAATTTTGTTTGCGATAATATTTTATCAAATTGCAGCACTTCAAGATAAGACAAAAATATTGCAAAAAATATAAATTTTTAATTTCGGAACAAAATGTTGTAGAAAAAAAATTCGAACACAAATTTAATATCCTATCTTTGTGCTTTAAAATACATGGTCAAAAACTTCTCTATCATTCTTTTTCACTGAGATATTTAACTTTTCGTGAAATGCGAAAAAATTACAAGGGTTTCCAAACTTTTGATACGTGAATGTATGTATTGCTTATGTTAAGAAAGTAAGTTATAGAATTACATATTATTGAACAAAAACCATGTGTCGCAAATAATAATAATAATCAAGATATTAATTAATTGTTATACGCTAATCATAATGATTGCAAGTTTTTAACATTATTTCGTTGCAGACACTGTATTGTTTCTCCAAAATTGCCGGGTCGTAAAGTGCCTGCATTGAAGAGCTCTCTCTCTCCGCCATCATTATGCAATCTAGAGGACATTCATGATTACTTGTTGCCAATGCTGATTGTACTTGGACCAAATCTGCACCAGGATCCTATTCTAATGTATAAAGTGATGAGATTGTGTCACTCCGCTATAAAACACTGTTCACTTGACGCGAGCAAGCAACCATTGAATAAGAACTGCAGTCTCTATTATGATGTTCTGACGATACTTGACGTCGCGCTGCTACCTTCTCTTTCCTTTATGGATTGCAACTGTTGTGTTGCTGAGGAATTGTGGAATATTCTCAAATATTATCCATATCAGAATCGCTATTGTCTGTACGCGCGCTGGAAGAATGATACACCTTTACAACATGCTGCATTGCTGCGGAAACGTGCAGATGCTCAAAAAAAGATCAAGTCGATCATGAAGCGCGTGAGCAAAGAAACGATCAAGCCAGTAGGCCGGTCAATAGGAAAACTTACGCATTCTTCACCGGGTGTACTATTTGATTATGTCCTCATACAAATCCAGTTATATGACAATCTCATAGGTACATATCGAATATATACTTTCTATCGTTTTAATCATTTTTGCAAAGAAAGATCGTAACGTGCTTATCGTATTGGATGCAGGACCTGTGGTGGATTCTTTAAAATACTTGACAAATATTTCATACGATGTTTTGGGATATTGTCTTGTAGAAGCGTTAGCGGGTGCTGACAGAGATAGATTTAAACATGATGGCACCAGTATATCCTTATGGTTACAATCTCTAGCTTCTTTTTGCGGAGCAATATTTAAAAAGTATAACATCGAATTAACAGGGTTGTTACAATATGTAGCAAATCAACTTAAAGCTCAAAAGAGGTACGTTCTCACATAGATAAATTGCATTAAATTCAACTATTATCAATCATATATTAATCAATAACAAATAAGGAGCTTCTACCAGGTCATTCCAATAAACGAGTTCTGAAAGGTGTAAACAATAAACTTTATTATTCTTTTATTATAATTTTATGCTTTCGACTATAGGGCTACTAAGGACTATGTCCTCATCAGCCGTGTTTATAAATGAAATAAAAAATCTCGAAATAATATAATAATTATATAGACATATTAATTACATTTAGAAATTAATTTCTCGCCGTTAACCAAAGAATTGGTTTGGATTTACTTTTATATATCTTTACTTTTATATATCGATTTTATAATTTGACTCAGTATAATAGATTGAGTTTGTAACACATATTGTGATTGTGGATAAGATCTGATTAATACATTGTTTTATACAGTTACTGAAATTAATTTCTAAGTGTTAATATGTCTATATAAATTATTGTTTCGGGGTTTTTTATTTCATTTATAAATTATAAACATTATAAACAGGACTTATATTATAGTATAGTCAAAACGTTCCGCGAAATTATAATAAAAGAATAAAGTTTACTGTTTATACTTTTCAGAGCTCGTTTATTGAAATAACCTAGTAGAAGTTCCCTATTTATTGTTGAAATTTATACGAGCAAATTATCTAATTTTCCATTGTAATTAATCAGTTTGCTTTAATATACTGCTCTGGTTCTAGCCTAGATTTATTAATATTAAAAGAAATAGTACAAAAAATGGCTGGTATCGAGGCCGCCGAAGAAATGACGTCTGATCAACTCGATGCTATGGCAGGCGGAGATCTGTTAAAAAATGAGGTAAACTGTAGCATCGCATAAATTTGCAGTGTCGTAATTTTGACGTACACAAATTAACATAAAAACTTCTTCTCTTAAGGCCGGTTACTTTAGTCAAGTCCGCAACACAAAGAAATCTTCACAGCGTTTGAAGGAAACTCTCGCCGAGCAAGACCTCGCAGTTACTCTGTGCCTGTTAATGGCGCAACAGAAACATTGCGTTGTTTACAGAGAGACGGATAAATCTCATTTAAAACTCGTTGGTAAATAGAATTATATGAAAAGCAAGACAAAAATTTAAAGATAAAAATTATCTTTTTTCTGATAGATATCATTTGCTATTTTTTTTTTTGTATAATAGGCAAGTTGTACGATCAATGCCAGGATACGCTCGTGCAATTTGGGACTTTCTTGGGTTCGACTATGACAGTAGACGAGTATGTGGAGCGACTACCGTCGATCCATTCTATGCTTCAGGACAATCACATACATGCAGACGTCGCATTTTTTTTGGCACGGCCAATGTTTGCGCATGCCATAAATGTAAGCAAGTTATTTATATTTGTATTTGAATTTTCTTGATAATAACATTGATTAAATATATATCAGCCATTAATTTAGAATGAAAAGTTAAAAGATATTTAAATTTGCGTACAATTGTGTATAATTTGTTATCAAATAAAAATATAGATTTTTTAAATACAGATTTTTGTATTTTCTTAAATTAATTTTCTTAAAGATAAAATATGACGCTCTCCGTAAAGCTGATCCGAATTATAAGAAAATGTCCACGGCTATGAAGCAATTAAAATACGCGGAAGCTGCGCAAACCGTTATGGCACCTGTTGCTCAGTCTGTCAGACCGTTGCACCCTTTAAAAGTTTGGGAGGATATATCGCCGCAATTCTTAGTTACGTTTTGGTCTCTGTCGATGTATGATTTATACGTACCGGTGGAGAGCTATCAAAGAGAAGTCGGCAAGTTGAAGCAACTTGCAGTTCAAACTGTTGATTCCAAAGATATGGTACGCGAATATTATATTTTATTATTATTGATTACAGTACTCTATGATTGAAAAATAATTTATTTCACACTTGAAAATGTTATTCTTCCTTGATTTAAAGTAATGCTAATTTTTAGAATATAAGTAAAGGAAAGAAGGAACAAGAAAGATATACCACTCTTATTGAAAAGCTACAGGACGAAAAAAGGAAACAAGAAGAACATGTCGAAAAAGTTTTTGCATACCTGAGGTAAAATACTTCGTTATTTCTTATAATATACTATATACTATAATATACTATAAGATAGTTATAAGACAGTGCTGGAATTTATTTGCCGATCGACATTTAGACTGCGCGCGAATGGTGAGGACCAAGCTGAAAATCGACTGGAAGTTGTAAGTAAATTTTAGCACTGTCTTATAACATATAAGTATAACAAATATTATTGTTGTAATTGTATAATGTAGCAATTCAATTTATATATTGATCGTACGTTTATAACTGACTTATAGACAAGAAAAGGATACATGGTTTTTGTCACGAAGCGCTAAATCGGCGAAAAACGAAACGATAACACAGTTTCTACAGTTGTGCCTATTCCCGCGGTGTACATTTACAACTGTAGATGCCATGTACTGTGCGAAATTTGTACATACCATCCACTCCCTGAAGACTGCAAATTTTTCAACTCTGCTTTGTTATGATCGTGTAAGGAAGTCCTTTCTAGTATTCTTGTTATTGTA